GGGAAAGATCTTTGAGATCATCAAGTGTAACCTATGACCTAAAACTACTTTATCAACTAAACAATGGCACTAAGTTCCACATCCAGTCTTTTTTAAAACACATCCAGGGGCAGTGACTTCATCACCTCCCTGGGCAGCCCATTCCAATGCCTTCGGATTACTGGAAAGAGGGTAAATAAAGAGGTGGAATTCAACAGCCTGCCCATGGATAGGGGTGTAGGATTGCAAGAGGCTGAATTACTGCAGGCTGTCACTAAACCATGCTGCCTGGGAGTTCTGCAGTTGGGGCAAACACGCAGGACAAGCTCAATTTCTGTGATCCAGCTGAAAGGCAGAAGTTCATAATAGACATGGGATAATACCTGCACTATTCCAGGAAACTCTTAGATGCTAGAAGTCAGCTGAGGAATGAGAACATCTTCCACAAAGGGATCTAGAGAGAGAAAGGAAATAAACCCAAACTTTTTTCCGTAGAAAAGATGCTGTGGAGACCCCAACCCATCACATACCTAAAGCTCATCTCACTCCTTCCCCATCTTGGTTCAGATGAAGATTGAATTAAGGAAAAGTTTGATTCTGGTACAAGTAAGAATTAGAAATTTAGATGTACACAACTGCAAATTAATACTCTAGAATGATTTACAATAGCTCAGTTTTAGAAATTCAACATAAATTTTGTTTATGCTTAAAGGGCTCAGGGATCCAAAACCATGCAAAACCCAAACAATAATAGGTTTTATTCCTTTAAGAACTGAAAAACTGGATCCTGTGTTTACAAAAGCAGGGATTTCTTTGATTATTGTTATTATTATTACTACTTGTACAAAAAAGGGTGTGATGGTCTCTTAAGGATTTTTCTAAAATGTAAAATTCCGTTTGACTAACCATTTTTAGTCCTGTTCTGACAATGGAACACACCCTATTTCTTTCCACTGAAATATCAGTTTGTTCTAGTTGCCTTTGACCTGCCTGTTAGCAAATATGAAAACAAAACCCTTTTACTATCCCAGGGCTTGGGCTGGGATGTAGGGAAACAGCAGACAAATCATTCAGAAGTCCCACAGGTTTTAGGGAAATCTGAACTGATGCCAAACTTCCTGTTGCCAGTAGTTTGGGTATTATAGAGGTTACCTATAATTACCTTGGTTGGGTACATAATGAAAAGCTGTGGGCTCAAATACAAACTGCACCCCTCCTTTTTCCTGGTGTTTTTATGAATCTTTACAAAGGAAACTTCAGCTGTACTAAGACTGGAAATCCATACCCAAACCTGCTTTGACAGAACTGCCAAGCAGAAAACCAGAATACTTGGAAATGCATTCCTCAACTCTCACTGAATCAGCTCTGTTGCAAGCTTCTGAATATCTATCCTCCAGAATAAAACATTCTTACAGCCAGTGGCTTCACTTATTCCCGCTGGAGAACCTCAGGCAGGAAGATGGGATTCACTCTTCTACGGATTCCAGCTCAATCCAAGCACATTTACTACAACTTCTTGTCCTACTGTCACGCCCTCCGTTCTTGCCCAGGGCTAAAACCTTTTCCTAGGCTTGAAGAAATGCAAGATGGTGAAGCAGCCAGGAGTGTAGATTGCCAGTACTATGGCAGGGGAGATCAGTCCCTCTCTCTCACATCCAGGTTTCTCATGTGACCCAGTTTAATGGGAAATTAAACTTCTCTTGTTCTGATAGATTCAGAGCAGCTGATCCTCATCTTTTACAAAATAGGGCAAATCTTCTGGAGGTCAAAAGGTATTTCTGGCAGCATGCAGTCACTCCTTCATCTGCTAATGGGTATATCTCTGAAAACTCCTTGTGTGTTGCAGGCAATTACCACTGTTCACATTAGCCTCAGCTCAGCGATGGCCCCTGTGGCCAGAGAATGTCACAGAGAGGGACTGAGCTGACGAGTCAAGTTGCTCCAAATTCTAAAAACAAAAAAGATGGCATTTTGTGTCTAAAGACTACAGACCATATTGCACCCATCAGTTAACATGGTTTTAGATCAGAAAAGGTCTTGGCATGAGCTTTCTTTGTCACAAACCAAGACCCTCTCAGTCACTGCCTAAGCTTACTACACATTTTGTGTTAGCAGGGAAGAGCAGCTCGCCATAAAAGGGGAGGTCTGGACCCTCTCATTAACTATGCTTTAAACCTGAGGCTGTTATTTCTACTATTCTTGCTCCGTGGCACCTCAGCTTTATTTCATTTGTGCAGCCAAGTTGCCTCAAGCTAGGATTTAGAGAGAGACCACCCTCCATCTCCCGCAGTCTTGCCAGCTCCTCAGTAAAGTTTTGTAGAGTTTGAACCTCCTCCTGTTACCTAAAGCTGAGACAGAGGCCCCAACTACTAATTTCTAATTAATAACCTACCAGCTCTTCATTAATAAGCTGATTAGCAGAGAAGACTCTGCTCCTAACCCCTGAAGACACAACTGGGCTGGGGGCCTACCTGCATGGGGTCAAACCCTTCTCCTGGCACCCCGATGGCAGCAGCTTCACCTCTCTCTGCTGGGGTTCCCAGGTAGCCCCAGAACCCCTAGCAGCAGGGCTGTGGTGTTCTGGAATTCTCCTCAGCTGAGCAATGCCCAAAGGCCATGTCCCAGTGTGGCCACTGGGCATTTCCGTGCTGCTGCTGGTGGGCACAGCCGCCCTCACGCTTGGGCACCATGTTGTGCCAGGGCTTGGCAGAGGCCTGAGAAGGGTTAACCCCTCCAGGAATGGTTAATTAGCCCTCCAGGAATGGTTAATTAGCCATGTAGGAATGGTTATTGCTCCTCCTGGACTCAATAGTTGCCCTTTTAGGGGATAATTAAGTGTAGCTGTGAGTAGAGGCAAAGCAGGAGGGATGCGTTGCAGCCGGAGGAAGAAGCTCGGTGGAACTGGAGGTAAAAGTTTGGTGAATTTGTTTGTTTTTTTTTAATAATTTCCTCTTTAATTAATGCTAGAGGGTCTTGGCTGTTTCTGGAGGTAAGGGGCTGTGGCATGTGGCTTCTTTTGGCTGGGAGAACCCCTTGGGGAGGCAGGGGCCCGGGATGTGGAGGGGTGCCATGGCTGCAGGGATGGCCATTTAGAACACCTCAAACTCCTCGTTCCCCTCTCTGCCCCTGTGCTGGCATGGCCCCATAGCCATGTTGTGCCTTGTACAGAAAATAACTGCTCATGTTGGCTCAAATCTCATGTTGCATTATCTTGCAGTGAATCATCTACCCCATGACTTGACTTCTATTTTTTTTTTTTTAATGAGTCCCTTTCCTGTAAAGCAGGATGCAGATATGCCTTTGTTTCTTTCAGTCACCACCTACTTCTGGTTGGTCTGGTAACTCACTCAGCTGTTTGGCCGCTGTTGTGGGGTTAAGGATGTCCAAATCACAGTGTGTCCATACAAAGGCTGTGCACACTGTGGAATGGCTGGTGGTTTTCTGTGGGATATGCCCTATAAACCCAACCCAGCCTGGCTTAAAAATTCCTAGGTGCTCCCCTTGAGGCTGGGAATTATATTTGGTGTAAACAGGCTCCCTGAAAGAGCAATGGGAGGTGGTCAGTCATGTATTTCTAGTCATAAAGAGCTCTAAGGTTTTTCTTTTTTACTCTGCTATGCTGGCTTTCTTCCTGAAAAAAGAAAAGAAAAAGAAAGCAACCTACCTGTTATTTTTTCTTTTTATGTCTAAGTAGTGAACCTTTTGTTGTTACGTAGAGCATTATTATTGCTGCTGGTAGTTCCTGCTGGGTTTTGTTTGGATTCTATTCCAACCTGAGTATTAATTTAAACTCACGTTTAATGGAGGTACTGGAACAGAGTTATTGCTGTCTGTGAGGGTTTAGACTTGGAAGGACAGTGTTTTCCCTCAGTTTTGGTCTGGTGGGTATGTAAAGGAAGATGTAAGCTCTGAGCAGTAGACTGGCAGTGGTTGCATCAAACAATGTTATTCACAGCTGGAGGCTCCTGCTGATGCTGGGGAGCTCAAAGTGGTTAGTAGCTCCTTTATCCCTTCGTATCTGCCTACCTGCCTTTCCCTTCCCACGTTTCTTCTCATCTCCACCAGCACAGCAGCCACCCGTGGTGGGGCAGAGCAGAAAGTGATGGCAGCTGGTTCTGCTGGATGTGCAAGTGAGGGAAAAACATCACTGATGAGAGCTGAGGAGACTTTTGATCCTTCTAAAAATGGGGGAAGGGTACTGCTAAGTAACCCTGGTGACAGCTCAAAAAAGGACTGGAGTGTTGTGATACTGGAGAGTGGCGAGAGAGGTGGAGTTGGAAATGCACTCAGGGAAATTAATTCCTAATCTTTGGTCCATCTGCCTGTGTTGCTTGCTGGGCTGCAACATAACCAATCCAGAGAAAGCAGGTCCTTGAGACATCAGGTCCCCTCTATCAAACAGGAAAACTTTTTCTAATTGAAGGACATGCACCTTTGAAACTCTGTCCTAGATTCTAGTTTGTTGAATTAAAAGCCAATTCTGCCATTACCTGAGCAGTTAATAAAATCTATTGCCTTGTGATGCATTTTTTCTGTAGGCTAGAATGGATCTGTCTTCATTGTGATTTGTGAGATTGAGGGGAAAACACATATTTCTACTGCACTGAAAAATTTCACTGTGTTCTCCCTCTAAGGCTTGGAAGTAACCAAAATTGCAGAGGTCATTTTTTTTAATTATTGAAAATAAAGTCTACCTTATTAACATTTTAATAAAGATAATCTCTTTGCAGGGGTGCCCAGAGTTGCTCTTATTTTCCTCTGTGCAATTCCATTCTCTGAAAGGGAAAATACTATTGAGATCTGTAAAGCATGATGTTAGACTGAAACTAAACACAGAAATACACCTAAGCAAAATGCTTTCTAAAGGTGCTGTGTTTGTAGAGGTGCTTGCCCAATATGTGTGATGCAAAATGGGGATGCTTTGTGAAGAAATCATCCTTGTAAAGCCATTGGTTCTGGTCATCAGACTCTATCCAATGCTTTAGTGATGATGCTGCTGATCTATTTGGGAAGTTGGCTGGCTCTCAAGGCAGAGTCTCTTCTCAAAGGCTGTTTCACAGTGAAAATATGCTCAGTGCAGCCGAGTGCATGAATGAAAAAGCCTCTGGTACCTTCTAGTCTGGCAAAATGCAGCACAAAACTCAACTTACTCTGTCTTTTCTGCTGTCCCAGGTAAGAAATGCGTGGTTTTTTTCCCTTGCTTTCTTTCATCTTTCTGCTTTTGTGTGTTTGGATTTGAAAGTATTTGTAATTCAGCTCTGATTTCTGAGTAATTATACATTGCCTGAATTACTGCTTAAAGATGCAGGATCTCTCCTCTAAGCCAGTTGCTAGGAATGTAGAATCTCAGAGTTCCCTGATTTACAATTACAACCAATTTGCCGTGTGATATATAGCATTTTTTTGTTTCCCTTCAGGAAGGGTGGTGGGGGGAATCTTTCAAGTGTCTCGGTTGCAGCTGCAGCAGCGATATTTTCTGTCATATCAAATGCTGCAACTTTGATTTGCCTCTTCCCTCTGTGGCTTGTGCTGGGTAGCAGGTTTATAGGCTGTTACAGGCAGCTCACGTTATTTATTGCCTTTTTTTTTTTTTTTTAAATAAAAGGATTTTAGGGGGGAATATGGAGGAAAAAATAAAATCAGACCTTGCAGAAGGCTCCGTTTCCCGAACTCTCCTGATAGATGTGTAATACTCCGTTAGTGACTTGCTATGTAGCCTTTCTCTTATTAAATGTAATAGATCCCCCTCTGCCAGAGAGCAGAGGAAAAAACACCCAGCTTTATAAACACGGAGCTGCTGAAGCCCCGCTGCTGCTGCCTGTCAAAGCGCAGGGACTCGCTGGGCTTTCACTTCTCAGCACCTCCCGGTCACTCTTTTCCTCTCGCTGCTGTTACAGGGCTCACTTTTGGGCAGCTCAGAGCAGGTTTGGAAATCCTTTGTTGTTGTCCAGATTAAGTGCATTCTCCCTCCTTTCCTCCTGGGAGCTCTGTAAACTTGCATTTAGTGACAGTGGGCTGAGATCCTCTGCACGAGCAGGGATGAAAGTTAATTCCTTTCTGACTTGCAATCCAGTGGTTTTGTTAACCCTTAGAGGGTTGGTGGGGTTTAGTGTCAAATAAGTGCTCGGGACGCTGAGCTTGAACCCCCGTGTTTGTGTAACTGCAGTCTCCAGCAGGCGTTTGGTCTGCTGATCCCAAACAGGGCACCAAGGAGAAAACCTGAGGGATCACCATTGGGAGAGCTTTATTAACGCTGAGAGCGGCTACACAGTGTGTGAGGAGGAGGCAGCAGGGTGAACTGAATGCACACATCTGTGGATCAAGGTTAGCACGTTCAGGTCCTGGTTTCACCTGCTCAGGAGTCAGTGCAGGGACACGGGGGTGGCTGGAGCTGCGGGACAGCCGGAGGCTCGGTGACTGGGGACTGGGAGTGAGCAAGCACAAAGGCATTTGGGTGGGTTCGGGATAACAATCCTGCTCCGGGCAGTGGAACAAATGAAAACAGCTGCCTTGGGACATAGGTTTGGTGCCCAGCAGCGTGTGCTGGTGCCACATGGAGGGCTCCTGGCAGGGCCACTCTGCCAGCCCGGGCTCTGCCAGGACCGGCTCAGGACAGCGGCCAAGCTGCTGCTAGGGAAGGCTGAGCACTGTCCCGTGGGATGGGGAGACCCAGAGGGCTCCTGGGGACGAGAAGTTGTCACAAGTGGGCTGAGATCCAGCCCGGGCTGGCAGTGGGAGACAACGCTCAGGGAGCAGAGGGGCTGGGGGAGAGGGCACAGCCAGTGGAAAGGTAACCTGTGGATGCACTGAACTGGTGCTCTCTCATCTTGGCTTGGAGACCTCCCATCTGCTTTGCTTGGCTTTCTCTCTGTTTTCAGTCCTGTTTTTATTTTTGTTTTTTTTTTTTTTTTTCGGTACAGCTTCTCTAACACACTGCTGAATTAATCAGCTTGAGTTTGGATTTTCTTTAGTGGTCGCTTGTAGGAAAGCAAGCAGTATATATGTGATACAGGAGGACAGACTTCTAGGGCCTATTAAACATAGCTGGTATTTTTTTAACATTAATGTCTACTGAAAATCAGACAAGGTGCAGACACCTGAAAACAGCTGTGCACTTTACTGATAACTTCAGTGATACTTCAGAGTTCCTTCCCAGGCTGGGCTGAGTTCTGCTATACCACAGGGCTGTGCTTGTGGTGCTTTAGCCTTGCTTCCAACACAAATGCTCAAATTGCACTCCATCTTCTTTATCAGCATGTACAGCTCTATCTGGCCATGTCTCTTTCCACCATGTGAGCAAATGCAGCTCCAAGTTTACTTTCTAGATCATGTCTTAAGAGTTAATGAATTGGGGGATGAATCAGACTAATGTGGAAGTGTTTGTAATTCTGTCTTCAGGTCTAGGTTGTTGAGTATTGGCAGGTTAAAGTATGAAGTAGAGTGGGTGCCATGCTAGGGAAAGAAATGGGATTTACTGAAATGCTGTTTGGCTTTTGTCTCTGACACCCCACATGCACAGCTTTCATGTGACAGGAAAAGTAAACAGAAGAATGTGAGAAACAACATATTAAACAAATGCAGCCATCTGCTTGTGTAGTGGTTGTAACACATTTGGGGATCTTTTTCTGCAAGTTTTCTTTTTTTCTCCCTTAGGAGTAGCAAGAATCTCATAATGCAATGCTAGTGGAACCAGAAAGGACCAAGTTTGATAGAATTCTTTTTAAGCAGGAGCAATTTAGTAATCTTTCTGTGGAAGCAGAAGATAGTGATAACTTAGTTTCAAAGTAATGATAGCAAAGTTTACAGTGCAGAGAAAAAAGTTTGAGGAAATTTTTATCAATAGGAACATGAACTGTAAAAAGTTTGTTTTTAATGGAAAGACCATTTCTAAAATTAGTAACTTGAGTTTTATGTTTTCTTGGTCTGCTTCTAATTCAACTGCATTTTTAAAGTACAAAAACTTTGCCTTTTGAGGCATTAAAAGGATGAAGATGGAGAATCACTTTTTCATATCAAAGCAGCCCATTAAGTATGTATGCAAAAACTGTGGTAAACAGGTGGGAAATAAATTAATTTTTCCATTTGCAAAGATTTAGTCTACACTACTACCAACTGTTCTGTTTTCACTAAGAGGAAAACTGAGCATTAGCTGGAATAACTGAGAAAGATGTTCCAAGTAATCTTTTAATTCAGACTCACATTTAGAACTCCAAAGCATAACTATAATATACAGCTTTATTGATCTGAAGCTGACAATAAAAACTAAATGTACTCTGGTAGCTTATGCAGTTTACTATGCAGGGTACAGTAAGCAGTAAATGCATTCTCTGATCTGATGGATTTAAAAATCTTCATGTTTTACATTTTCCCCAAAGGGTATTTTCTAAAACCTATATACAAAATATTTGTTTCAAAACAAAAGTTGTTCACAGGCTTCCTTTTCTATGTTATGTGTTTCGTGCAGAGAGATGACTCACAATTTGTAATTAAGGCTTACTTAGGTGAGGAAAACCCCCCATATTTTTAATAATTTTAACAATAGCTGCCACATTTCACTGGGTTGCGACTAAGTAAATTGGAAAAATGTGTAGATTTTACAAGCTTGTCATTAGAATGGAGAAAATTAGTCCTCAAACTCTTTCCCCTAATGCAGAGCCCAGACTGCTGCATTCTTGAGCTTTTATTTGTTCAAATTTCTCCAGAAGAGGGCTCCATGCACAGCATGAAAGGCAGCACCCAGGTATTGAAAGCAAAAGAAATTTAACAGCTTCAGGAAAAAGGACAAGTCTTGCTCACACAAGTGTGTTGATATAACATTTCAGATGATGTTCAATTTCTGACCAAGTATCTCCCTGTTCTATCATGTTGCTGTAGGTCTTATTATTTGAGAGTTCTAGAGGAGAAGCTCTTTGGTTCTTGTGCTATATCAGAGTTGTAAAAATGCTTAAAAGATGTTAGAGAATCTCAGTTGTCAGTTACTCTGAATATTTAGTTCTACTGATGTGCACTTTGTGAACAGGCTGACACTTGCTCCTCACGGTTTTAGGCCATCATTTTTGGCTCTGCAGTCAAAAAACATCTTCCAGTTGCATATCTCATGACAAGATGGTGTCTCCCAAAACCCAGAGCCATTCCAGCAGTTGTGCTGTCCTATTTCTCAAATATTACCTTGGAGGGAAGGCTGGCACTGGTGAATTAGGATGGCTTTTGGCTACAGCTCTAGCCTCTAAAAATATCTTGAACAGGATCTGACCACAGTCCTTACTGCTAAGCAAGGGGGTTTGTTATAGTAGACAAGTGAAAACATGAAAATGTTTCTGCACTTATGGCAATTAAACCCTGCTTTGTGTACTCCCTGAGATTAGATCCTTCAATCTAAGACATAGCTTAGGTGATATGTTGGGACCTGCTTTCTGGTTCTGACAATCAAAACTTCAAAAAGATTTTCTTAGCACATGTAATATTGGTGCTGTGATCCAGTGGGAGTTATTGACTTGGCTTTTAGTGACTTTTTGACAGCTAAAAAATTAGTATTCCTAAAAGCTGTCTCAATAGACCAGTACAACAGGGACTATTAGAGCCATGTAGATGGCAACAGCAGTGCCCCTTCAAGGAGTTGTGAAGCACTGCCTTCCTTTTCTTCCTGTTTGCTGCAAGATAAACAGGCACGTCCCATTCTATTAATATGTAAAAGCAAGCCAGATGACAGAGCTCTCAGTGTTCCACTCCTCCTGCATCACTGATGGAGTTGCATCTCTAATCTTCAGCTGCTGGGTTGTACCAGGGTGCTGCATGTTAGGATTTTGGTCTCAGGTTTCAGAGTTCCTATGACTACATAAACCTTTCTGGAGGATGGGGGCTTCATGTAGGACTTTGAATATAAATGTCAGGTTAGCAGGTTTTATATTGTTTCATGGACAGTTACGGGGCAAAATTCACTGTTTTGATATTTTGATATTCCAGCCAGCAGGGACAACTGTATCCTGGGGGCATCAGGCTCAGCTTGCCAGCTGGGAAAGGGAGGGGATTGTCCTGCTCTGCTCACCACTGGGGCAGCCTCACCTTGAGTGCTGAGGGTGTTTTTGGTCACCACAATATAACAAAGATACTAAACTATTAGAGAGTGTCCAAAGCAGGGCAGTGAAGACGGTGAAGGGCCTTGAGGGGAAATA